CCCCCCCCCATCGCTACGCAGGCAGCACTACATCTGTCCAACAACTAAAACCTCCACTGAATCCCGTAAGAGACAATCCAGTGAAGACTAATGATTTTTATCCCTACTTTGAAGCAGGAATGCACTGCCAAGGACGTCCACACAGAGGCATGGCTGCTGCTATTGTTTTCAACACATTTCTAGGTCACTGCCCTTGTTCAGAGGAGTTTTCTATTGGGCCTGTATTTTATTTTGAACAAACACAACCCGACTCCGAGAGCAGTTTTGTACAGACACTAAAAGGCTAGTTATTTTCCTGCACCAGTCTGTAGTGTTGAATCAACCTGCACATACAGTACGCTATAGAAATAGTGTGTATTACTAGCAGTGGCTGCTTTGAAGTTTTATATTGTTAATATATTGTTTAAATGACAAGAAAGACATTTTATGATGTAACGCTACTTATTGTGTATCTCCTCCAGCTTGTTTTGCTCAACTGCCCCATTGCTGTTATCAAACCACATACATGCAACTTTTGTAGCTTTTTGCTGACGCCCATGTGCTTTTTAAAATCACACCATGGGGTTTTTAACTACACACATACCTTACAGCATGTAACCAACGCTTTCAAATTCGAGTAACAAAAAAATGCAGTTGTGTGGTTGTTGTGACAGCAGTGTTATGTTGCTGAGAATGCCTATCCGCGGTGATGTGAAGTTTTGATGATGGAGATAAGAAGCTGTCAGTATTGCACTACTGAGTTGATTTTGCTGCTGAGAAAGGAGCAGTGTTTTTAAGGGCAAACTGGATAGCACTTGTGATGGTATCTCTGTTTTTTTTTCCAACACAGCGTTTCCTTTCCAAGGCCATAGCGTCCGTGGCGACATCGGTTGAATGTATTTCATTGCAATGTACATGTGTCAGAACCTCAAAAATGGAAGGGTACCTTAATGTTTATTTCTGCTTGTTTTTATTTATTTTCTGACAGCTCTAAAGCTTAGATATTAATATAAATCGGACACCACGAGTTTTTAAGAAGTGTAACTTTGCTGACGGAACAGCCTAAAAACTCTCACTTGCTCTAAAGCAGTTCAGTCTTTATTAAAAGAAGAAATGAAACCATTGCTTTGGTCAGATGATTCCGTGTGTGATTATTGATACTGACATTTTCATATCATTAGCGTTCAACAGCAAGCATTTGATTGAGAAGGATTTACTTTTTATGTGAAGGCTGTAGGTTTTATTTATTTAATGTCTACTAATTTATTTATTTCTTAAAAAAAGAAAAAAAAACATTTAAGAGAAATTATTTGAAGAATTATATTGTCTTTTCTCTTTCAAATTCAGGATTGGGCTACCATACAGTTTCATTTCTCCAAGTTAGAAGAACATGCACTGCCACTAATTTAATGTTAATTTGTTTTCCTGATGAGGCAAGATCTAGCAAATAATCATCCTGTAGTTGTATGTGTGATCTTGTAACATATAGATAGGAGTTTTTGTTTTTTAAACTTTAATACAAATGTGTTCTTCGCTGTTAGGTAGCAGGACTCCATCTCCGACCTCTAATCATAGACAAATTGCACTTTTTACTCATCGTTTAAATTTAAATGTTTGTTCATTCTCATGATGTAGCTCTCGTCCTTACTTGTGTGTGCGTGCGTGTGTGTGTTTCTCCATTTTGTGATGAATGCCGACATTAAGTTCATGCTGCTTGATTTTAACATGTTCTTTTCTCCTGTTTGGCTGCAGAAATGTGTACTTCAACATACACTACATAAAAACTTTAAAGACAGATGGCTCTGGGCAAAAACGCAGCTAGACACAGCAGATTTATTATTACATTCGATCGCTGCAGCAGCCACTGTCTCCATATATCCTGCTGAAATGCCATTGAGCAAGATCCCAAATCTTTACCTGCTCGCTCATTATTAAAAATGCTGCATAGGAACAAAGTACTCAAAATTTTGATGTAAATACGTGTGAATTTGGTTGTGATTCTGAAAGAAGAAAGTATTGCACTGTGCTTCCATGGTAACAGCCTGAGTCATGACACTTTTTAACCACCTTGACACAAACTTTATAATCTGGTGAATTAACACTACAGATATAAATGGTCTTGTATTAGTGCATCCAGTTTTAGTTATAATCTGGATTATCCTGCATTAAGCATTTGAGTGAGAAGAAGCAGGGAATCTTGTCAAGGAGATCAAGTGGAAAGATCAAGAGAATATGGTACACAACAGAAAGCTGACTAACATAACATATAGGTCATTTCTATTTCAATCTGGTGGCTGAGATGTGTCTAATCTGTATATATTTGTGTCTTATGTTCTGTTTGTTGGTTTGACTTGTGTTTGTACATTCCAATTGTTAAGTCCAAGATAATGCGTGTATTTCTGTTAACAAGACTTGGCCAAGTAACATCATAGGTTTTGAGGGAATTAAGTACATTTACAGGATAGTAGCAGCTGCCATATACTACTATAGTTATGCATGAGCAATACACAAGATGCTGGACTTTGCTTTCATATACAAGGTGAACCACAGATGTAACACTTGCGCTATATTTGGTAGCATTTTCAGTTGAATTCATAACCGAGGTACCATAGAAATCCTGCCAGCTGTCTTTGTAACCATGTACTTAATTTGGAAAAAATAAATGCATTTATTGCATGACTTCGGTGGTATTTCCTGTGTCTGCATGTTTCCATGTCGTTCGTCTTCTGCCAAGTGCCCCTGTACAAATTACTGTACGTTACATGGCATAATAAAGATTTCTGATCCTTTAGTTTTTCTGACATGCTCACAGCAGGCGTGGCAACATCCAGAGTTCATGCCAAAAATGGATTTCTTGAAGGTCAGTTTCTTGAGGAAAAAAATGGAAATTGAAGTCCTTAGGCTTACATCATGTTTAGTCACTTCTCCTCAGGTGGAGTTGACAGCCGAGCAGGTGAGGTCTGGGGGTGACGACTGATAGAGAGGTTTAAGCTGACTCCCCCCTGTCATGTGTGTATGTATATGTTGGGATGCTGTCAACTTGGCCTGGGGTCCAGGGACACGAGCCCCCTCCACCAGAACAAGAGACCTCTCCACAGGGTCAGCTGCTGCCCCTAAAAGGGCCCACTCACCCATGACTTAATGCCCCCGGGCTCCTTTGTCCTTAGGGCTGTTGGTTTTACAGGCCCATTCACTCAATTGCCCCCCAAATGGAGGGAGGCAAAGGACGTGACGACTTGCCTTATGCTGAAGGAGCAGCAGCGCGCATGCATTCAAACAATGTACACATAAACACGCAGGCGCCACATGCACGCCATGTCCACTTAATCAATCTGTCCACCCTTTGCGCTCATTCTTCTACAAGAGGGTCTTTTGTTCTTGTGTGACCCACACTAAGAGTTGAAAGATGTCAGGGACCTTTTGCCTCTTAATTGCTTATTGGCAGCAGCCCTTCCACCTTATGTTTCCTGCATGTATTTAAGGGAATCAGCTCATAGAATAAAGTGACTTACTGACACAGACACTTAGTTATGCAGTTTCTATTGTCAGATTAACTGAATAGGTATTACATTTGTAAACTATTTACATAAATGAGCACTTGACATGCTATAGTACTGCTTTAATTTTGCTATCCAGTGCACATTTGCAGCCCTTTTGTAACTCCAATCATTGAGTCAGCTTGTGGTAGACTAGGTAAAGTATGTGCGTGTCCCTTTTTGTGTCTACCTTGTACACTGAAGACATGAAACAGAGCCTGCAGGCGTCCGACCAAATCTCCCCTGCCTTCTCTCTCCAAGCACACACCCATCGGGTGCACACAAACTCTCCCACACACACTGTTTGCCTTTGTGTATGCTAGACAGCAGATGGCAGCCCATTATAGGGCTGACAGAGCAGTCATCTGGCAGGCACCCTGTTACCCCTCCTCCCCTCTCCTCCCCCACTCCCCCCCCAAAAGACACCCAACACAACACAGCAGGGAGAGGACGCTTTTAGGCGGGAGAAGTCCACAGCCACAGAGCTGCGTGCGTGTTAAAATTGGACCCTGGCCTTTCCGCCCTATATAGGTCACTGTTTCCACTGTTGTGTGTGTTTGTGTCAGCGCCACGTGAGGTAAGTCAGGCTCACATTTGACTGGGGATTTGCCAGCGAAAACTACCGCGGATGACTTACTTTAGTTTGAATGGAAATTGTATATGCCCTCCATGTGGCCCTTTTCTGACTGAATTAATCACAGCGATTCGAAACAAGAAGCCTGTAGCTTCAGACTGGTGATGTGTCTCCTTTTATGCAACTCCTATTCACTCATAAACACACAGTAAATCTCTTTATGGGACGCACACGTATTTCTTTCTTTTATATTCTGCCATCCTACCTCTCCGTAATCTTCCTCAAAGGGTGAACTTCTCAGGTAAACGTGCAAGATATTCTCACTAATTCCTTGGCTCTACATAAAAGTGAGAGTCACATGCATGAGATAAGCTGCAACAGTAACGGCGGCAGAAAGGCCCTCTCAGATATTCACCTCATGAATCACGGTTTGATCAGAGGACCAGTGGAGCTGTCTGCCTTTGTAACATTTACACCCTTCCCTGTGCAAGACATGCCTCCCAAACACTGGCCCCAGAGTGACTGCCTCCTACAGCCTTTATTACAAAGGATTATACAACAGTGAATATCAAACAGCGGGGGGAGGAGGGTCTGAATTTCCCTACGGAGGTCAAGGCCAAGGTTAGGATTGAGTTTGCTGCTTGTATCCTCTGCAAAGAGGTAATCTACAGCCCACCCTATAGAGATCCCACCACAGGGACATGCTGGGAGGCACCACAGAAGAAGAAGACGACATGCGACTTCTGAGAGCTACTTTGGTGTTGCCGGGGCAACTGGCACAATCCCTGATCCTTTGGCGAGGCTTTCAGCAGGCCTCAATCACACTTCCTTTCGCTTGAGGGAGTTTTTTTTTTTCTTTCTCCAGCATTGTGAAAAAGGAGGGAGGCCCTCTGTGCTCGAAGGAAAATGAACAGGAGTTTAAGTATTGAGTAATATGCTGAGGCATGTTTCCACGGAAATAAATAGACGTTAGTCAGGAAGGGTTTGCTGGTTTATCATCATCATCATCGATATAATAACTTCCATATTATGCAGCAATATATATATTTATATATATACATATCAACAACTCACATGAGCAAATGAAGTTATGAAATATGAATGACAAAACACACACAATGTGATAGAAAAAGGCTACATTTGATCATCATGAAGCATCACTTACTGCTTCACTGACTGCCACTAGCTGCTACGTTATTACACATATGATTGCAGTGACTGTAGTTATTTATTTAGCGTAAATCTGGCATTTCATCTTGGCATGCTGGGCAGAGAAGAGCCACTGCTCAGCTCTCTGTACAGTCAAACATATCTGGCACCTGTGGCCACGCCCCCATTAGTGATGCCTGTCCATCAAATGTAATGGGCAAAATGACCTCACCAACATCACTAATTAGGGTGGGCGCCTTTAGCCTCTTGCTGGCTTCTAGGAAATGTGACTAAGTCGAGAATATCTGATATGGCACAGGCCTGCATCAAGATATTCAAGACTTGTTTATTTCAGAAGCACCCCTGTGTTTACCCACCCACTCCCCCCCCACCAACGCAGCCCCACCAAAGTGAACTCAGCTCAGCCACCCAAGACAAAGAACAGGGCTTCTTAGTCGCCCTCGAAGGCCCCATTGGTGGCTCCCTGGCATTCACTCTTTTTCCGGCACTTGGACAAGATCCTGTGGAGCAAGCTTGGAGATCTGTGTGTCTGGGGCTGGGAGGCCACGGGCTGGGGAGCAGGGATCTGGGGCCTCTGCACCAGGAAGGGGCCCTCGCGCTCACCCTGGCCCCCATCCAACCCCACTCCTCCTCCACCTCCTCCTGCCGCTCCACCTCCTCTGCTCCCCCTCCTGAGTGCCTGCAGAATGTGTCCACTGGGGGACAAAGAGGAAATAACAAACACAAAGGCCCTGTTTATTCCTTATGACCCAAATTCCACCGCTAGCAGACAAGACAGGCCCGGAGCTGCACTGAGGGCTGTGTTTGTGTTGAAGTGTGCATGAGCAAGGTTTACTGGCAGGCTGGGATATACAGCATTTGAAATAAAAAAAAGCCCCGGTGGCCTATCAAACAGCTCCTGCTGCTGGTGTTATTGAGTGCCGTGATAAAATGCTGTTTAATATCTAACAATGTCTCATTAAAGCTCTCACAGGATTTGAGCTGTGCTGTCATACATTTTTATTTTCGGTTAAGATTAAAAAAATAAATAAATAAATAAAAATACAGTCTTTCCTTTCCCTCTTGCTCCTCTTTGGCCCTAATGAGATGCAGTGTGTGAGTGTGTGTGTGTGTGTGTGTGTGTGTTTAGGGGGCTTAGTAATCAGTGTGCTTTGTCAACTAATGAGGGACGAGAGGGGCCACCTGTTCAGGGGTGCTGGGCGGAGAGCGGTGGGATGGGATTTGGAGATGGGGGGATGTGGGGAACATCTGCCGGATGCTGAGCGCGTGTGCACGATGGGTACACTTGTTGAGGGGGATGTGTATAGTTGTTGACAGGCCCGTTGTTGGTGTTTACACTTACTTTCCATATCTAACGCGCTCAGCGTCACCGGCCGAGATCCTCAGAGATACGCTCCTCCGTAAGCCTTTAGGAGGCACCTAGAGTGGAAACACGTTTGAGTTAAAATTGTCCTACTGATGTCCTGAAATAACCTGCACACTGCCTCTGATATTGTCCTCTGTTTGTTTGACTGCCTTTCCCCCATTTTAAATCTCAGCAATCACTTCAAACATATTTTTGTTTCAACTTATTTCTGTCCTCAAACACTAAGAGAAGACAAAAATGGATTCAGGCTGTTTGGTGCTAGACTTCCCAACCACTGTATCATCTCTTCAAGGTATAAAATATTCTGCAAATAAAAATGGGCTCTATATATCCCATTAATTGAACAGAATTAGCTTTTAATGAAAACTTTTAGATAAATTGTTTAATATCAGTATGAATACGTTGTAAAGCTTGACTGTAACTCCACTGATTTAACACTGGACTCAAATAGTGCTGTTTTATTCATGATGGATACCTAAAAATGACTTTTTATCCCATGTATTCTTCTTCCATGTCAAATCCTGATCAAAGATTTAGGTTTTGAAATGGTTAATGTTGGCATGGAGCCTCAAGCAAAGATAAGGAACGGGCAACAGAAGTCACTTCTTTCTAACTCCACACCCACTTTTCATTTTCAGATGTGCAGTTTTCAGCACTAATTTAAACTGTCTGAAGTGATTCACCTTTATGTGAATTTTTCTTTAGACCTTTAAAGGGACCTTGCAGCAGTTTAGAATATGTTTCATTAAAGTAAAGGGATTTGCAAGTTAGAAAGGAATGGTCAATAATAAAGTATTACAGCCTGATAATAATGTGACTTTTAGTTTTCAGGCTCTATTGGTCAAAGTCCAAACACCCCTGATACAACATTTCCCATAATGGAACACACTGGATTAGAGTCTCTCTGGCATTTATTTGTGCAAATTTTATGTCTCACCCTTGTACTGAGATAGCCATAAAGGCACAACTATGATGCAATAAGGGTTTTCCTTTTTTAAATTTTGCAGACTCCCACCAGAACTGTTCATTGCCAGAATAAACTCAACTTTGTGGGTAAAACTGGTGGAGGGCATCTCTAGTTATTCCTCACTATATATGCAGAAATGAGAGATCAATTCGGAAAAAATAAATAAATAAATTCTCACCTATTTAGTGTTTACTACTCAAAAACACAGACACATCAGCTCAGTGGAGAAACAAATGCATTCATGTAGTACCCTGTCCCTCATAGTAATAAGGTTGTTCGAGGTTTTAGTTATATTTAAAACCTACATTGCTAAGGAGGCACAGAACAGAATAGAAAGTCTAATCTGGCCCTCAGACAGTAAGCAGCAACAGCAGCAACAACAGCACAGTCCAGTCATACTGCATTACTGAGCACATTCAGGCAGCCAGCCAACCAACCTGGCCCAGCTCCATCACGCATGAGGCGGGGAAGTAGCCCTGCTGCCCGTCCTGCAGCCGCCCAAACCACCTCTCCTCCTCATGTTTGGACAGCACCAGGATGACGTCACCCGGAGACAGCACCAGCTCATCTGGCCAGTGAGGCCTGTAGCTGTGCACCACCACCATCTAATGGACGGAGAGAGAGCTACAGTCATTTCTACTCTGACTTGTTTAGTTTAAATTGCAATATGCATTTTCAAATTAGGCTAGATGTGCCATGTTAAATTGCCTTCTTGTTGGGATAATAAAATGTGTTGTTGTGTCTCAGTTCTCTCTGCAGCCTGTGGGTCAAATTCAGTGAATGGAGAGGATTATGTGTCAAGATTTAGAGATTAACTGCTGTGTAGTTAAATAGAAACCCTAAATCTGGGTCTACTCTTCATTATCTGTTCCGCCTAAATATGGTTCTTGTTGGTCAGAGGAATTAGATAAATTAAACTGAATTGAAATTGGTTGACATTATATAACGTCAATGTCACCCTCATCCATTAGTCTTCATTGTATGTAAGACTTCTATGACATTGTGAATATTGTTTTCCATTTCATCTTTCTACTGAAGACCTCACATGGGATTAACATCTTAGATTTCTATTCATGTATATTTAAATCAAGAAGAAATGTGAACTTGCCTTTTCAGCTTCTGCCCTGTATCGATACCTCCCTGTTAACCATCGAGAGTAGAAATGAATCAGCAAAAAAAGGTTAGTTTTAATATTTGCTGCAAAAATGAATGAGAATATCTTAACATGAATGCCTATGCATGAGTATATGTACAGCTGCATCCTTCAACAGCCCATAGGGAGAGAAAAAAACAAAGGATCTACGCCATTACTTATTAACTAGCTGGAACTGATTTACTGTCTTGCCATCACTAACAATGTAAATAATGTCATGCTAAGCCACACTTCACAGCAGATATGGTTCCACTCACCTTGAGGAGCAAGGACAGTGGTGAAGACTTCAAAGTGTTCACTGCTTTGCATGTAGATTCGCTGCATCTTGAAGATCTGACACTTGCAAACTGACCGAGACTACTGCTCTCTCCCTGCACAACCTTAAAATAAATGCGGCTGACTAATCCGCTGCAGCACTGACTGGAGCTGGACACAAGCAACAACACATCCTCTCTGGAGTGTAACGCACTACAAGCACGTACACTGCAAGATTTGGGACACTTCAGATCTTATTTAGTGAGAGAAAGCATGTTATTATTAGATTAATAGGCAGGTTTTTATTAATTTTTCAACATTAAATATGACCTGGCAGATTTATTTTTTAATATTTTTAGCTCATCATTGGAATCAAAGGCAGTCTCTTTCCCAGGGATCATGCTTGACCACCTCATATTCATACCAGCGTCTATTGTTCTTTGACCATCTGGTCACATGCAGGAGAAGTTTAGAGGCCACTGGCACCGCTCGCTGACGTGAATGAGAATTCATAATTTTACCTCATCAAGAGTGCTTGATTGATTTAGAGTTATTGACTGTGTCCCACTTTGCAGTGGCCTGGGTGAGCAGGGACAAAGATGAATGGGCTTGGGACGGACTGCTCAACAGATGGTGATTGAAACCCCACCGCCTCCCATGTCCTGCTCCGGAGCGATGGAGCTTGGCTGTGAGCTTGTGTCAGCGATTAAAAAGCATCCATCAATAACACCAGAGATCACTCAGCCGGACAATCATATCTGAGCAGCCTGCAACCATTATGATAAACAGCTTTTAATACTTTAAGTGAATGATACATGCATTCTTTAATTCTGTTTTCTGTAACGAATCTACACATAAAATATGGGCATTCTATTTGCCCTGTTATTTACAATGTCAACAGGAAATAAGGCTGAATCCTGGATAAGCTGGATGACCTGAGCGAGGAGAAGTGTGTTTGTTTACCATCTAAATGAGTAAAGACCTGTAAATGGATTAGACAACTAATTAGCCTCATTATCTGTGGCCTCAGCAGTCCTGCAAAACGCTCGACTGGACTGCAGCCCCTCTGGCTCTCAGTCGACTCTCCTTCAAAGCAGGCACAGCATGAAAACACTCACCTGCAGAGGACACAATACCACCAGTTAATGCATAATGCGCCCCCTTTGAATGATAGAAAAATCGCTCTCAAAGTGCATTTTATGGCTTTAAGATGTGTTCAAATATATTGAAAGTGCGATTTCTGGCTTTGTGAGCTGTTTGTTACCCTCCTCACTGCTCCTAATTCAGTGTGATGCCTCCAGTCTAGACTCCAAGGCCAAAGCAAAGCCTTTACATAACCAAAAAGCACAGCTAAGCTGCTTAGAAAAGCAATGTGATGCTTACTTCTAGGAAGAGGAAAACAGATGAACACTGAGCAGCTCAGAGCGTTTATCTGTGAAGACAATCTGGGATAGTTATTGAAAAATAACTGAAATACACAAATGAAGTCAGACATTAATGTAATAACCAATACTGCTCCATTAACAATGTACATGATGTGATGCTGACATGCCTCAGATTGGGTTCAGTGCAATTTTATTAAACAGTCTGACTTCATACAAATGAAAATCTTTTATACCTGGGTTGGGTGACGTGGAAACATTAAAAATAGATTATATAAGTTTGTCAAATTTTGCCAAGTAACTTGTAATAAGTGTGTATGGAAGTATATGTGCATGCATCCTGTAAATATCTCTGGGTGCCTTATTGTAGGAAATGTCGCAAATCTGTTTATGGCATCATTTGTTTTTTTTAGTACAATTTAGCATTAATTTATTTAGCTCCTCTAATTTTTTTTATGGTTTTATTAAAAATTTTGATTAAAAAAACCTGACCATGTTGTTTCCTTGCCTCAGATACTTTTGAAAATGTTCTGCATCTGATATTTTTTCACATCACACATCCCTACAGACACGTTTTGTTTTTTTAAAGCTTTACCTAAGCAACCTGGCTCCACTTGAAACAGATCTTTCAAAAGGAAAAGCACATTTTACCTGCACTGCTTTTTGTTTAACACTTAAACAAATGATCGTTGTCTACTCTGTGTAATTAAACAGAGTGATAACATACACAATGTTGTGGTGCTGTTTAACTTGATGGATGACCACTTTGATGCAGTTTTCATTTGCTTTCTATAGATTTTATCTCAAAATGTGCCCCAAAAGGCCTGAAAATCCACAATACAAACGACTTTTCAGCAGGTTATCATAAAGTATTGAGTTTGTTGCCACTGAATTCAAAATGATTTAAAGAGTGTTTTGTTTTATTTTGCATAAATAAAAGCCCTTCTAGGGATGGCTGTTCCAAATTAACCATTTGCAATAAAGGATAATTGCACTGGATAGCTATTTTTAGTTTACTTATGTATATTGTATATGTCCCTATCAAACAACCCAAGGCAGCAAATGAAAATAAATGAATTAAAAAGATCCCATCTGCCTCTTTGCTAAGTTGAACAGGCAGCAGTACTCTTAAGTTCGCTTCATTTATGAATGATGGTGCAGGTATAAAGCATGCTAAGTGCACCAAAGAATGTTAAAGATATTAGATGAGATTTTTTGCACAATCTATAGATGTTTAGACAAGTCCTTAAAAATGCCTGTTACTTTCTTAGAGGTCAAGGTGACATCTACTAATTGGTTTTTTGCCCAATTAAAAGTCCAATATCCAAATATGTAGAAAAAGGTAGAAAAAAAAAGCTAAAATTCTCTGATTCCAGCTTCTTAAGTGTAATCGTTTTCTGGTTTCTTTGCTCCTCTAACAGTTAACTAAATATCTTTGGGTTGTCGACCCAGAAAAAGACCCACAAGGATGGGAAACCTGACATTTTATAGACTAAACCATCAGCTGAACATTTAAGAAAGTAATCATTATTACTGAATTTGACACTGAAAATAATCATTCACTGCAGACCTGGTGATAGGAAACAAAGCAGCACATTGGAGTAGCTCGAACTAGAGACTGTTTGGCAAAATATTAAAATGATTATGCAATTATCAAAACTGTTTCCAATTATTTTTCCGTCAGTTAAATAACCATAAAAAAATCTAAACATCCATCAGTATCTGTCAAAAACTCTGGATTTCATTGGACAGAAACAATCACTCGATTTCAACTTGTACTTCAATATTAAAGTATATTTGTAAAGTGTTTGACATCAATATCAGACATTTGTTATCATTTTAATCAGCATCTAAGAATGAATGCTGATACCGGTGAACGGTAAGATTAATGTACATGGAGGAGCAGAGAATCAGGTATCCTGGACTGTCACAGCATCACACCTGTCAGTCACAGGCCCTCAGTTCATATCAGCATCATCAACGTCCAGTCCAACGCTTTAAAACACACGCAGCCACACGGACGACACGACAGTCCTCAGTGCTTCCCAGGTTTGCCTTTCTTCTTCCCTCCTCCTCCTCCTCCAGGTCTTCCTCCTCCAGGTTTACCTCCTCCAGGTCTTCCTTTCCCTCCTTTCCCTCCTTTCCCTCCCTTCCCTCTGCCCTTCCCTTGCATGTTTCCTTTCCGTCCCTTCTTTCCTGCTCCTTTCTTGTGTTTGGCTGCAGCCTCCTCTCTGTCATCCTCCCTCATCTGCTTGTTCACAGCCTTGGTGACGTCCAGCTTGGGCTTCTTGCTGTCCAAGACTTTCAGAAGCTCCAGTTGTCTCTGCTTCTCGTTGGAAAAGTCTCCAATGAGGGGCTCGAACTTCCTCTTCTTGCCCGTGTTCTTGGGCGCCTTCTCTTTGGGCAGGCGGTCCTGGAACCTGCCCATGGAGGCTGTGGAGGTCTTGGCCACACTCACCGCTCTGGACAGCTCGTCTTTGGACTGCTGGGCTTTGGGGGTCAGACCCACACCTGGGACTTTGACTTTCTGCGCTCTGGCGATGTTCCTCAGCCTGTTGAGCTCGTTTTTGGCCACCCTCTCCTTCTTGGCTTTTACGCGTTTGGAGAACTGGTCCTCATTGGGGTCCGAGGTCTCCGGCACCTCGATCAGCCACTCTTTGGTGTCGTCGTTGGCCCTCTTGTAGCCCCAGCGTCTCTTCCATTCCTTGGCGTTTTCGTCCCACACCAGGTTAGTCTTCTTCTTCTTCTGGATTCCCTTCAGCTTGGCGAACTGCTCCCATTTGGTCGGAGGTCTGGGCTTGGGAGGCGGCTTCTCTCTGGGCAGCGGGGTCGTCGCGTCCGGCAGTTTGGCCACTATCGCCTCCTCCACTTTCTCCGTGGGTAGTTTCCATAGCTCGTTGATGAGAAGCTGCGTGTTGTCTCGAGCTAACGAGCGCAGGAAGTCCTCCTTCTTCTGCTGCCTGAAGTCTCGGGACTCGACGCGGTTTTTGTCACAAGCGAGCAGGTTTCCGACGTCAAAGTCCAGGTCCAGCTCTTTGTGGACGGAAACACTTTTCAGTTTTTCTGCTTCTTCTTGCTCGGCTTTAGCCAACAACTGCTCCACACTGCACGCAGCCATGTTGGTCAGTGCTGAGTTCCCCACGTGTGAAGAGAGAAAAACACGCGAGATTTACTTCCGGGTCACAGTTTGTTGGGTGTAGTTCCACCTGCGGCCATAAGGGGGCGGCGGTGCCTCATAATAACTGAATGCAACACTTGGAGGAGAAATAATCCAAGAAGTAGCAGCATGGCACTATAATGCAACAATAAACAAGTAAAACACACATTTAAAATAAAATGAGCAGATATAATAATAATGTAAATGTAAAAATGAGCCATAAATGCTGCATCAGCCACGAGAAATGTGGTCGTCAGTCCAATTTCATTACCTAAACTTGTATTGAGTTGAAAATCAATCAGAAATTTGAGTTTAAATAAGGCACAATATTAGGCTGATGCAACATTATTACATCACCCTAACCCATCCAACTAATGTTTGTAAACTATAAGCATACCTAAATCATTTAATTCCAATTTGTATCCCACAAAAATGACTTTAATTAAGTACTGGAAATAAGTTATTTTCCTTTTTAGAATGTAGTCTATTTAAAAAAAAAAAAGATGAATCTAAATGAATTTACCTTCAAAAAAGCAATATGATCATTTCATGTAGCTTGACTTACTTGGACCAACTCTATTATTATAGGATGCAGGGTGCAGTGAAATCTATGAAAAGTGACACTGACAGTTCTTATTGAATCACTAACTCTGAACTCACTCTACATGCTGTACATCACAGACCTGTTAAAGCTCCACTTCACTGTTGTCCACCTACCTCAATGTACATAAAGTATCAACAACCCTGTGTTTATTGTTGCTAACTGAAGTCATTCCTTTCATTGAAATCTGTACAATTTGCACTAAATTTTGGTTCACTTTTAAACATGCTCTTTCACACATGTCCATAGCTACACGTGGTAGTTAAACACTCATTTTCCTTGTTTAAAAGCATGTTTTCTGTGTGTACTGTGAAAGCAAAGAAAAAAGTTTAATTTCTTGCATGTGTACACAAACTTGGTCAATAAAGCTGATTCTGACTCAGAAGAAATGTTACCAAAGTTTATACATTAAAATGCAAAAGTATAGAGTTCAACTGGAAACACCAACAAGATTTTATACTTAGTGATATAACTCCAAAAGAAATCCAAGTTTTCATTTAACCCCTGAACAAAGTAAAAAATACCTTTTGTCTTTATAATAAAAACAAAGTGCAGCAAGAACACTACCTGTCCAGGGTGTCCCCTGCCTTCACCCTAAGTCAGCTGAGACAGACTCCAGCCCCCCCACGACCCTAGTGAGGATTAAGCGGTGTATAGATAATGGATGGATGGCTCAACTTGAGCAGCTCCTTTCTCTTATTGTGTAGTTGTGTTGCTTTGATAGTGATTTTGAATTCTATTAAAATATAGCAAAATTGTCAGCCAGCTGTCGTCTTTAACTCCTGCATGTCGTGACTCTGTCTGATGATGGTTTAATAATAAAATCAGCATTTTAGCAATGCAGAGCAGCAGTTTGGAAGCGACTGCTGGGTAACATGTTGCCTTAAAGAGATGTGTGTCTGTTACAGAAACAGAAAAATATGCAAATGATAACAGCTTTATTGAGAATTCAGCTGTGATAACATGCAGAATATTCGAGCACAGAGACCAGGAGAGAAGAAGACTAATGTAAAGTGACTCCTATGTGCTCTGATCTGCTGATGAAACTCTGCACAGTATACAAACCTTTTTGTTCTGTGATATTTTGAAGCGCTGTCGAAGTCTTGGGTCCTTGAAAACTTTTACATTTAACTGAGTTGGCGTTGCTGCCAGCACCATTGTTTAAACTGCAGCTGACTGCAGCTGACAATGACTGGAGGTGTTGTTTAAAAAAAAAAAGAAAAGAAAACATACGTCAATTAACAATATTAATTTTGACACGTTCTCAGCTTCAGCACCACTAATTATACTGACTAATTGCAGCGTCTCTAATAAATGCTGGAGACTGCCCTCTTTAAAATCTCCTAAATGCCAACCAAAAAAAACAATCTTCCTCACCTTCTTGTTCTTTTTCTGGCTCATTACCCCTTTACCAAGAAAACAAACTCCTCTCTCATCCTCCACTTTAAGTACCAGCAAACTGTCTCCTATTTGCTTGTCTGTTGGACTTTTATAAAACAACTGCCTGAAGAGATCTACAGCAATTCAGGAGCCGGCAGTTCATTTAAACAGATAAAGTTCATCCAGATCAGGTTTGCTGTTCATCACTTCAGTTCAGCTCAACATGCTTTACGGGAATGAATATTAGGTAAATAATACTGTCAAAGCATCAAGGATTGTGTCATTAAAAAGAGGAAAAGAAATAATTGAATAAAAAAAGCAAAAAAGCAAATTTATTAAGTGGACTACAGAAAATGAATATGATGATATGATGATAAAAAAAAGAAAAAAAATGAACAAGAAAATGGAAAAACGGGGGACATTAAAAATGCGTGTGCCATATGTTTAGAAGGTTATGTCAGGATAATGGTCATACTCAGTGATATTTTAATTATGTGTCACTCAGCTGGTGACATGCAGACGCATATTGTCCAGATAAGTACACTGTGTGTCCATCTTCTATCAGAATCTGCTGCTTTTCATTGGTTTTTATTGCACTTTAGTAAAGTTTGGGATTTACAAGTTCAACTTTTTAAATGATTCCTCTTTTATATCATCGTATTTGTCATATTTAAAGAGAAAATGCATCTCTGTCTCTGTCGTGCAGCGACCACAGACTCGTTCTTCTCTTGGTTTTTGCTTTGCATCTGTGACGGTAAAGAGATATTCTGCATATTTATATTCATGATTTAGGGCCAGATCGCTGTAAAGTTGGTTTAATTCCTCCAATGTTCCAGATAAGCATCTTTTGTTAATGTAAAAAATTAATTAGTGGTTTGAGAGCAGTGTTGGCCTCAAGTTGAGGAAGGTTGGGTATTATCTGATCAGCAAGTCTCAGAACCAGCTGACAGAGGGAGCTTTTTTTTTTTGAAGAGAATGAAATGATATCTGCTCAAAACAGCATTTGACTCAGCTGGCATCTTCCTTCTGAGGTTGTCCCTGAGAATTATCTTTACATCCTTAATTAATCTTGTAGCCTGGTTTACATAGAGAAGTTAAACCTGAGCTGCAACCCTGAATCCTCAGAAACATTTCTTTGTCTGTCTGACAGCTAATCTTGACATCCATCATACTTTCAGGCCTTGAATGACAGAGACGCTATAACATGAACATTTCCATCTGAACACTTGCATATATTGATTCACTCCGTTTTAACATACATAAAAACATTCTGCATTGCACGTCTATTAATAATTTAAAGTCTAAATACTTAATTTAAAATTCTTAACATTCCATTTATCCTTTCTATCCCTCATTTTTAGGAAAAAAGAAAAAAAGAGAATCTATAAATATTAAAACATTCAGTGCTTTAATGAGTGAAAAGCCCATTCTCAGTGTTTCTTCTGTGGAAGTTTTAAGTCTCTGATACATAACTGTGTAAACCGGCTGGATTAATGGTTGATTTTAGTTGATTTTAAGTTTAGCTGTGGTGTGTTTAAGTCTCTTTCTGATCATTGATTAAAACTTTGTATGTCAAAGTTAAATATTTCAACGTTTTTTTTCTCCATGAAAAATAACCCCTTCTTTTAGAATGTGCAGATCTATGACATCCATGCATCTCTCTCCACCCATTTCTCTTCTCTAAGTGCAGCTCAAGCACACCAGCTCACATACAGCTCTGTAAAAAACACTGTAAAATTGCTCTGCGTTACAAAAGAACAAGTTGTGAAATTGGAGTAATTCAGCCAAGCATGTTCAAACCAGAAACAATCGGTTACTTCACTCTGTTACGTGCAAAACCCTTCAAGTCTGAATCTGTTCTCGAGACCGTCATCGGTACACTGAGGTTTCATTAAGATGGAAATGCTCTGCCACCGATGGCTTATTTCGCCCACGATGTGTCTTCCATCACATAATAAACACCATATGGACGTGTTAACAAGGTTAAAAAAAAAAGAAGATTTTCACCAGAGGAGTCTTTAAATGTTTAGACACAAGATGTCTCCTACTTCAGGGACTATTCTTAGTGTTTCGGCTCTGCAGGTTTCAAGCCTCTACGTAACGCTTGTGTAAGTTTACACACTGGACTGCTGATTGGCTTCCAGTTTAGAAGCCAAATCAAATCATAAACTATTGAAACTTCATCTTTTAGTGACAAACTCTGCAGATGCATCATTTTGTACAGCACAGCCCAAACAACTTAAATAACATGTAACAAGGTGCAAACTGCATTTTTAGAGAGAGGTTTCAAGTAATTTAGATTAAAGTTATTGTACATAGAATGAACCTAATATTATAATGTTGCACAAAGGTAGTTATGAATGAAAGCCAAATGTAATATCGTCTGACAGAACATTGCAGCGTTTGCGTGACACACATCATCTTCATCAACACGTGGTGTTTGCTTGGTTGTCACTGATGTTCAAATTTGAAGTTCTTGACTTTTAAAGGCAAGGAAGCTTTATTTAGAGAGCACAGTTAGTGCATTAAAACTCTTAACATTACAAAAACATAAAACAAAACCAAATCAAGCATGTGCCAGTGCTATAGTGCAAAGAACACACACATTAATACAAGCACACGTACTGTACACTCATACATACACATACATTCAAAGCCTGTTTAACGCCGGCTTAGACTGACAGTTCATCTCTGACCTTGGAAACAGCGGGTGACAAAACGTGCCAGTTATAATGTGATTCCACACACAGCTCCAGAGCAGCTCCTGGGCGGACTGTGTGGTGACACTGATTGGTCAAGTGCTACGTTGAAGGTCAAAGATGACCTTTCAACCTCAATTTCATATATAGAGCTGCACTCTTTTTTTTTTTTCCATACTTGAAATACATGAGAAATCCCTGAAATTGTAGACATGTGTGTACTTGCTTCTGTCTTTTGTTTTATAATGTAGTTTGCAAACGTAAGAGACTGTAGTAGAAATGTCCATTTTGCTTTAAGTTGCTGAACA